TCTATTCTATTCTATTCTATTCTATTCCATTCCATTCCATTCCATTCTATTATATTCTATTAATTTCTTTCCTATTCCTACTCCTACTCCTACTCCTACTCCTACTCCTACTCCTATTCCTATTCCATTCCTTTCCTTTCCTTTCCTTTCCTTTCCTTTCCTTTCCTTTCCTTTCCTTTCCTTTCCTTTCCATTCCTATTCCTATTCCTATTCCTATTCCTATTCCTATTCCATTCCTTTCCTTTCCATTCCATTCCATTCCATTCCATTCCATTCCTTTCCTTTCCATTCCATTCCATTCCATTCCTTTCCTTTCCTTTCCATTCCTATTCCTATTCCTATTCCATTCCATTCCTTTCCTTTCCTTTCCATTCCATTCCATTCCATTCCATTCCTTTCCTTTCCATTCCATTCCATTCCTTTCCTTTCCTTTCCATTCCTATTCCTATTCCTATTCCTATTCCTATTCCATTCCTTTCCTTTCCATTCCTTTCCATTCCATTCCATTCCATTCCATTCCATTCCTATTCCTATTCCTATTCCATTCCTTTCCTTTCCATTCCATTCCATTCCATTCTTGCTTTAAAACCTCCCAGGTCCCTTCCATCTCTCTTATTCTGTTATATTTCAATGCCTCATCCACACTTCCCAAGCACGAACACAAAGAACAATGTGGTTCATGCACCAATGCTGGCACTATTCTGAGATTTCCACTGCCATTTGCACCTCACAAACTTTTCGAAGCATGCACAGATGAAGAGAAAATGCACAAAAGCAGCAGCGTCTGTGTGGAGAACAAAGGGGATGTGACTCATGCAATCAGTACCATGTGCAATACTGTGATATTTTTCCGTGTGCATTGTGATATTCCAGGCATGTGCCAAAAGTACAGCGATTGTGGCTCAACCCGCACCATGCTGGCTCAGGAATTCTGAGAGTTGAAGCCAACAAGTCATAAAGGCGGCTATTGTTCCCCACCTCTGGGTTAGACAGACGTTTGTATATGATCTTAGCTGGGCTTCTTCCTTCTCAAATGAAAAATTCTGACTTTGTTTACTTTAGATTGCAGACAACCAATTTTTCCCGTCATCGTCAGATGAATTAATGAAAAAGAAAGATACCCAGGATCACAATCCAGACAACTCTTCCGCAGAATTGAAAGCTCCTGGTAAAATTGTTTCCTTTCCTCCTTTATATTTTTAACGGTCGCAAGTATTAGCTTGACTTTCCCCTCACTTTTCATCTCCCAAGGTTTTGATGAGCCTGATGATATGGAGACTAAGAAAGACCTTAAAAGAGGAATGAGCAGAAGTAAGTTTTATTTTGCCTTCTGTGCAATCAAATCCCCAAATCTCACTCTCAACCCCTGTAGAGTACAAAAGCAACTGGTTCATATCAGTTGCTTGATATCTAGGCTTGCTTCGATAATTGCTTCAAAGTTAGGCCTTGGTACTTTTGAGGCATAATTAATATTCCAATATAATTTTTATCAGAATGCTTTCCCCTCCCCCTTCATCAAAATGTTATTACACACCAAATAGTTGGTGCACGTAAGCAAGGTATTTATCTTGCTGAAGAACTAGTAGAAGAACAGCTTATTTTATGTCCATCTGCGTTATAGTTCTAGAAACAAATTATTTCGGCTGGACAAGCTCCTTGATAGATTCTACTTATAGTAAGGTTGTTCTAGTTTGGGAACCCTATAACTGGATTCTAGACTTGGTTTAACAGAAGAGTTGCTGAGCTGACTTATCCTGTGATGTTCAAACCAATAATATTATGGCTTCATATGATAGTCTCGGTCATGGAACATGATTGGTCATGGAAGACAAAACCGGTGACCAACCCAAATTGAATCCATGGAACATGCTGAATGCAAGTGACCCAACAGCATGGCTGGCTGGGGAATGCTGGGAGTTGAAGTCCATGTAGTTGGGAAACATTGAACTAGATGCAGCTCCTCCACCATTTTCTGGAACTGTAAGACAGAGATGCTATGAAGCAATGAACATGCTCTAGTAGGCTAGAAACCAATCCTCTTTAAAGATGTGGAGTGGATTTTACTCCGCTAGTTGTGGTTGACTATAGGCTCATTTCCTTTTCAAGGCCATTGACCCTGGGCTGTCTGAAGACACTTTCAGGGTCATGTGGCCAGCGTGATGTCACAGAGTGCTGTTACTTTTCCACCAAAGTGATACCTGTTTATCTACTCACATTTGCATGCTTTTGAACTGCTAGATTGGCAGAAGCTAAGCTGAGGACAGGAGCTCACCCCATCTGTGGCGCTTGGGTTTCAAACCCGGGCTGCCAGCTTTTGGGATGACAAGCCCAGAGTCTTAACCACTGAGCCACCACACTGCCCTAAGTCTTATCATGTTCCCTCAAATATGTTTAAGGAAAAGGCATGCCAGAAGATGCTTTTCCCAACTAAATGGAAGTTCTGGAAATGCCACATTAAAAAAAAAAATTGAAAATTAAGTCAAAGACCACAGAGAGAGGCCTGGTGAATTCTGTGCCTAAAAAGTTCCGAAGAGGAAATGGGAAAAAGAAAAAAAGAAAAAAAAGCTCAAACTCCAAGCTAAATCAGACCCTTGGGGCAATTTTCCTTCTGACCTGCCTCTGCTTTGTTCACAATCAAAAGAGGAGAATAAAAAAAAATCAATTGGGTTTTGCATCCCAGCTGCTGGCAGTATTGATCACTTCAGGTAAATCAATCTCCTCTCCAGTTGCATTCTTGTCATGGACTTCCACTCAATCAACAGCCATTAGAGAAACAAAAGGAGCATTTTCCATATGGCTTCATCCAGGGGGAATGGCGGGTGGGGGGGGGAGGAAAGGGGGCCATTTGTGAAGGCCCTTGCGAAGCTGCAAATGTTCATTTGAGTAGCTAGGCTCAATCGACGTCCAATTTTGCTTCAAATGCATGAGAATTATCATCCTTGGGTAAGGTTGTGGTGCGAATAAATGCTTGGTGATTTCTGCCACAGCTCCTGAAGGCCAGCTGATTCAAAAAGAGGAGAAGGCAGAAGGTTGGATCAAATGGGAAATCTACCATACTTATATCAAGGCATCTGGAGGTATATGCCGTAAACCGGTTGTGCAATTTCTGAAATGCATTTGTTCATGGTAAATTTCTGCAAAACTCATATCTGTGGACATGCAAACGCACCTGTATAATATATAATACCTGGGTATGATGGCATAATGTGTCAAAGAGATGTGGTGGGAATTTAAATTGACTTGGAAAAAAAATCTATCTCCCAAATAGATTTAGGACTGATTGAGAAGCCTTGATAGCTTTGTTTTGGCGTCAAGTATTTATTAATACCCCACAACTATCTGAGCATTTTGCCTTTTCTTTTGTTCCCTTGCAAAAGAGGCATCTTACTTTATATATTATAAAACAGATATAGAGACTCTGGACAAAGTGCAGATGAGGAGGCTGGAGGCTAAAAAAAAAAGAAGAATGTTTTCAGGAAATGGGTTTGTCTAGCCTAGTGAAAAGGAGGAGTAGAGGTGATATGATAGCAATGTTGCAATATTTGAGGGGCTTCCAAAGAGAAGAGGGTGGGGTCAAGCTGTTCTCCAAAGCACCTGAAGGCAGGACAAGAAGCAACAGATGGAAACTAATCAAGGAGACAAGCACCTTAGAACTAAGGAGAAATTTCCTGACAGTTAGAACAATTAATCATTGGAAGGGCTTTCCTGGAGAAGTTGTGAGTTTTCCATCACTGGAGGTTTTCAAAAAGAGATTGGACAGCCATTTATCTGGAATGGTCTAAGGTCTCCTGCTTGAGCAGAAGGTTGGACTAGAAGACCTCCAAGGTCCCTAACAGCCTCTTCTCTTCTCTTCTCTTCTCTTCTCTTCTCTTCTCTTCTCTTCTCTTCTCTTCTCTTCTCTCTTCTCTTCCCTTCCCTTCCCTTCCCTTCCCTCCTCTCCTCTCCTCCCTTCCCTTCAACCAAAATCTCTGGGCATGTGAGGATTCCTTTGAGATTTATCTTGACAGCATTGGGCTTTTTTGGTTGCAACAGGAAGAAAGCCCACTGATGGGATGGGTGTTTTTCTGTGACATATTTTCTTCCCATTGCACCAAAGTTTCTCTGCTTGCCTCCGTATTTCTTTGGTGAAATGAAATGTCCCGTGGAAGGAACTTCTTCATCACAGCATGTCTTCTTTTGGAATTAAACAGAATGGGAATCTGAACCCTTCACAGTATTTATTGGATCAGGAACTAACTGAACAGGCTGCCTTCTTGCAACAGGCTAAGCCGCAAAAGAATTCACCAAGATTACTAACTCCCAAAGCTAACTAAGTTTAGCGTGTTATGTAAATGCAGCTGCTAGCTCTTCAACGTAACTGGTTCAGTGGTTGTGTGAACCTTCATATCAGTGGTGGTATTCTACTGGTTCAGCCCGGTTCACACGAACCAGTAGTAAAAAAAAGTCTAATATCAGCTGAACCAGTATTTCTTTTTTGTCTTCCTTCCGATGATCAGCTGTTCCGATGATCAGCTGTTCCGATGATCAGCTGTTCCGATGATCAGCTGTGCCAGGTTCCCCCTCGCTGTCTTACTGCTTTGCCCAGGAGGCTTCCCTGAGGCCCAGGAGGCAAAAAAAAAATGGAGCATGCGGGGGGGGGGGGTGCTGCTGCACAAAAACATAAAAATAAGCCATGCCCATCCAGTCACCTGGCCACTCCCACCTAGTCACTCCCACAGAACCTGTAGTAAAAATATTTGCATCCCACCCCTACTTAATATCCTCAGGAGGCAGCCTGGTTTGACATCCCATGTCCACATTCCCTCCTAGGTTTCCTTTTGTGGTTTGTCATCATTCTTCTCTTTGTTCTGATGATTGGCAGCTCAGCCTTTAGCAACTGGTGGTTGAGTTTCTGGTTAAACCAAGGATCTGGGGTAAGTAAGTGCCATTTGGCACCAAAATATCATTCGTTTATGTCAGGGGTGTCTCACCTTGATAACTTTAAGACTTGTGGACTTCAACTTCCTAAATTCACACCAGATTATGTCCTCCTCTACACGCAAAGCCAGGGCTGGCCAAAAAAGTAAAGTAAAACTTCATAAAGTTTTATTTTGAAAACATTCCCTTTCCACAAACTTTCCTCTGCCTCTACTTTTTTTTTCTTTTTGACCCAGAGGCAAGGACACAGCCAAGAAGAGACGATAGTGCAACTTTTAAAATCAAGTTTCTCCCTCTCTCCCTCTCCCTGCCCCCTCTCTCCCCCCAAGGTTAATGTCAGTTGTCTAATGCATGGCATTTTCCCAAACATTACTGATGTTCATTAATTACATTTCCAAACCCAAGGGCAACCTTTCCAGCACATTGAAGGATTACTGCTTGGTCCCCCGAAAGGTTTGCCTACTGACTGATAAGAGAAAAAGGGTTATTTGTGGCACACAACTTGCTGTCTATCAACTTCAGGAAGAAGGAAAGGGAAGATATGATTGTGTTCTACTGGTAGTCCTCAACTTACAGCCACCTGTTTAGCAAGCATTCTCACTCACAATGGCACTGAAAGCAGCTACAACTGGGTCCTTGCAACATCCCTTGATCCCCTGACCAAAATTTTTGGCACTTGGCAACTGGCATGTATTTACGATGGTTACAGCATTCCAGGGTCATATGATCATCCTTTGCAACATTCCCAGCAGGCTTTGGACAATACAAGTCGAGGCGGGAAGCCAGTTTTCTTATTTATTTACACACACACACACACACACACACACACAAAAATAAATAAGGTTCATATATGTAAATAAATAAGGTTGTAAATAAGATAGATACGGTAGATAGATAGATAGATAGATAGATAGATAGATAGATAGATAGATAGATAGATAGATGATAGATAGATAGAAAGGTAGGTAGGTAGGTAGGTAGGTAGGTAGATGTAGATATAATGATATAGAGATATAGAGAAATAGATAGATAGATGTAGATATGTAGATATAATATAGAGAGAGATAGAGAGATAGAGATATGTAGATATAATGATAGAGATAGTCAGAGATAGAACGTAGATATAGATGAGATAGATAGATAGAGATATGTAGATATATTATAAATAGAGATAGAGATATAGAGATATGTATAGATGATAGAGATAGATAGAGATAGAGATAGATATGTAGATATAGATGTGCAGATATAATGATATAGATAGAATGTAGATATAGATGATATAGATAGATAGAAATAGATAGAGATAGAGATAGTCAGAGGTGGGCTGCACTTATGTTAACAACTGGTTCAGATATATAACTGATGTTCCTTTTTTCCCCATCTCCTATTTAAGAAAAGAAGAAACGCTTCTCTTCTTTTTTTGCTTCAAATCTGTTCTTTAGAATGCGACCTGTAATCCTCCCCAAAACACAACCTGCAATGCGGGCAGCATCACCACCAACCCTCAGCTTCACTTCTACCAGCTGGTCTTCGGGATGAGCGTGGTTATCATGATTATCCTGAGTTTCATCAAAGGTTATGGTTTCACTAAGCTGACCTTACGAGCTGCCTCCAACCTCCATAACACCATGTTTTACAAGGTATCACTAAACTTCGGTTAACCATCCTCATGCTTCCATTTTTTTTTTTTTGACAGGGAGAATGAGACAAAGTTAATTTTATAAATCTAATTTGGGGGGTGTGTGTGTCAGAAAATCATCCAACGCCCATCAGGCATGAACAACCAGACCCACACTAGTAGCGTTCAAGCAAGCTACTTTATTGTTCTAGGCCCATTCCACAGGAATCTCCACATTGCTAGCTTTTGCCTGGGAAACATCAGATAAGGCCCAAAGACAAGGGGGAGGGGGGACAACTTGTCCTCTTGTGTTCACATAACAGTTCCAGATATTGTCCCACTTAAGCCCCGCTTTCTAACCCGAACAGTTGCTCTCCAACTTGGCTTCAGCAATTATTCAATAAACTGTGCCTTAATATAGTTGTGTGCATTAATCCAGAGTCCAGTATGACCCATCAGAGAGTTTGTGTCTTGTCCAGAAGATGGAATGGAGGATTGCTTATTCCAAAGTGGGCTACTAGTAAGGATGCAACAGGCCTTCTCGATGGTGGCTGTCATTTATGGATCAATCTGCAGGTCTTCTGAACACAAGCCATTTGCCAGGGGTAAATGAATGGCCCCTTCTATAAAGGTTTCTCTTTGACTTAGTTGTATCTTTCTCAGAATCTGCTAGGACTGGCTCAGATTGTAAATATGATAGATAGACAGAGAGACAGACAGGACAGACAGGACAGACAGACAGACAGAAGATAGATAATAGATAGACAGAAGATGGTCGATGATAGATAGACAGATAGACAGAGAAACAGACAGACAGACAGACAGACAGGGAATACAGCATAGTCAAGGAGGTCAGATCTGGATTCTTTAAGGACAGGGTTTCCCCAAGGCCAAAAGAGCATTTCTATAGAAATCTCTCATGTCCCATTGATCCGATTTTAAAAACTAAAATAAAACTAAAGCTTAGAAAAGACTATAACTTTTTGATGAACTTCAGAGATGCAGGAAATAAAGTTTCAGGAAAGGTTTGTGGCCTGAATCCAATTACAGCTAACAATCTGGTACCGGAAAGTAGTTTTCTTCCAAGTCAATTAAATTCTCTGTTGGATATTGCTTTCCAGCAAAGGATCTGGTCGGAATGTTCTGCTCAAATGATGGCTGGTTTTTCAGACTGGGTTGATAGAGCTCGGCCATCTGTTAAGCGCCTTCCCCTTTCTAGCTGCATAAATTTCATCTTCCAGAATTTCTGAATTTTTTTAAGGAACCCACTTAAACATAAGTAAGAATTATGGGAATTGAAGTCCTCTAACCTGGAGGTCACCTTGGCCGAGGAAGACTAGCGTAAATCAGAGGAGAGCATATGAATTCTAGTTCCATATTTTATGAGAATCTTACAATGTTGTTCTATTATTTTGCACTGAGCTAAAACATTAAAATATTAAGATTTGCACTTAGCTAAAACAGATATTAAGATTCACCCCCCAAAAAATCCCATTTCTAGCAGAAGGCTTTAATTTCTAGTGCTGCAGTTCTAGGTGGGATTTCTTATTGATTACGAATTCTTTCTCCAAGCACATGTTATTAGAAACGAATCGAACCACTCTCTCTTCTTTGCGCCATCGTAAAAGAGCCTTTAAAATCTGTTTTGCACTGATGCTGAAGTTTAGGTGAAACCGGCTTATTTCTGCCATCCAAAAGCTGAGCGCTACGTAAAGGCTTATCTATCGTCTCATGGCATTGTTATTGTTTATTTTATTTTATTTTATATTTATTTATTTATTTAGTCAAGCGATTATAAGATAACACAGTGGCCCCCAACCTTTTTTGTGCCACGGCCCGGTACCGGCATCACAAAATGATCCACGGCCTGGTACCGGCATCAGCACGCATGGCAAGGCGAGCCGAGCGACCGGCCAGCCAGCCGTCCCCCGCTTCTCCCCGCCACCTTCAACTCCTCCTTTGTACCTTTGTCGATGGGCTTCGGGACGGCTTCGGGACGGTCGCTCGGCTCGCCTTGCCTTGGGTGCTGAAAGAATCCTCGCGCCTTAGTTTTTTTCGAAGCCGCCCCCCCCCACCTTCGATGAAACTAAGGCGCGAGGATTCCTTCAGGACCCAAATGCCGCTTTCCAACCGGAAAAGCTCACTGGAAGCACTTTCTCATCAAAACAAGATGGCGGTGCCCAGCAAACCGGCGGCCCGGTAGAAAATGTTCCACAAACCGGTACCGGTCTGGGGCCCGGTAGTTGGGGACCCCTGAGATAACAGGTATAAACATAAACATAGTTATGAATACATGAAATGGATACATATAAGAAAAATAAAAAGAAACAATAGGACAGGGACGGTAGGCACATTGGTGTGCTTATGCACGCCCCCTACAGACCTCTTAGGAAAGGGGTGAGGTCAAGAGTTGTCATTCTGCGTTGTTTGTTGCATATTGTAGTGCTCTCTTCTCCCCCCAAAACACCTCCCCCACTTATCTACAGATCTTGAAGAGTCCAATGAATTTCTTTGATACCAATCTCACCGGCAGAATCATGAACCGTTTCTCTAAGGATATGGATGAAGTGGACACGCGGTTGCCCTTCTACCTTGAGAACTTCCTGCTGCAGTTTTTCGGACTCCTGTCCATCTTTACAATGATCACCATCGTCTTTCCTTACCTCCTCATCAGCACGGCTGTCCTAGCGATCATTTTCATTCTGCTCTTCCAGTAAGTGGGATGCTCTGCACGGGTGGCCAATGCCTTTCATAAATAGATGTTGACAGCAGCAGCACTTAGGCTTCTATACCGCTTTACAGTGCTTTTACAGCCCTCTCTAAGTGGTTTATAGAGTCAGCCTCTTGCCCCCACCCCCAAACAATCTGGGCCCTCATTATACCCACCTCAGAAGGATGAAAGGATGAGTCAACCCGGAACCTGGTGAGATTTGAACTGCCAAATTTCAGGCAGCCGGCAGTCAGCAGAAGTAGCCTGCAGTACTGCACTCTAACCACTGTGCCACTATGGTTCATATGATCATATGACAGATGATAGATAGATAGATAGATAGATAGATAGATAGATAGATAGATAGAT